TGGGGGGAAAATAAACAATGCCTGACAGAAGACAACCTCCAAATGAGTCTGGCTGAAAGCTGAAGACTCCACAAGCAGACTTTATTCTCAACAAATAAATACACAAGGATTATTAACACATGGTTCTCATTTCAAACAGGTTAATGTGCTTGATAAATCTAAATGATATTCATGAACAGACCTGTAACTTGGGTTTGTATATATGAGTACTGCCTGACTCTGTTTTTAATCTTTTGTGACCTACTAGGAACATTGTTTTCCATTCTATCTGGTATTCTGTCTAGAAAAGCATAAACTTGTATGTAACTTTTTATGTAAGCCTGCAACTGTCTTGCATACAGTGCACTACAAAACACAGTCATTTGTGGTGATAATCAACTTTACTTCCTCAATTGTTGTTTTGCCTGCAGACAACACCTATGCGAACATATTTCAGAAAGAGACAGTTAACCATGTTAGAATGGGCATATTTCAGGAAATAAAAGAGTGGCTTTAACTGAAACATTTGCTGGCTTTTGACAAAGATGGGATATTTCGAAAACTGATGTGGTACTGTAGCTTTTGATCACCAGAATTTCGGAGGCAGAAATTTCCAGCATAGTAGCAAAAACACAGTTTTCCAATACAAATCCATTGGAAGTTTTCAGGTAAAAGCCAACATGTCCAGTTATTTTATTAAGTCTTAGATTAAACCAATTCAGATTCAGCAAAAAATAAAATTAACATTTCTAATGGAAACTTATGGCTGGCAATGCGTAACTGCGTCCCCCCCCAATAAAGAAGAATTAAAAAAAAGAGCTTGCTGCAACAACATACAGGGGAAGTTAGAACTTGCTGACACAGCTGATTCTTATCACTTGTACAGAGAAGCTTTGGCCAGTTTCAGTTTAAGACATGCAACGTTCTTCCTCCTTTCCTTCAAAAGCTGGTTTGGAAAACATCAGTGGAAGAGGTGCTTAGTAAACAGACTGTGAGTATTTTCCTTTTAATTACAGTTAAAAGTAAAACAAATTTTCTTTGAAAAATAAATTGCAAAAATACTACTGACCACTAAGTTAAAAAATTAAATCACAATCTTAAAATGTTAAGTAGATTATGTCTAACTGGTTCCTGGAGAAAATATTTATCCTGGCAGATGAGAAACATTTTGCTTCTAAAGCCTTTTACACTTCAACTTCTATGCTGCTTCTTCACTTTAATTGTATCATTGGGCAGATTAGATAAGAACATGAAAAATGTGTAATTTAACACAGTGGAATGTTGTCTTTAAAACACTTTTGAAGCAAATACCCTTTTAATTGAATCAAACATCTTTTAGAATAATCTGAAGCTCACATGCTGTGAGCCCTTGTAATGCAGTGTGGCAATATCACAGACACAGTAGAAGTGTAATTTAGGTAAGATTATTTACAAGTTGTGTGAAGTTATTTTCAGTACATTCCCAAACACCATCATAAAATCATTCAGTGTGGTATACCAAAATATTTCAGCTCTTCTACTACAGTATTCTAAATCTGAGCATGCAACCCTATGGATTACCTCTTGTTAGTATTAGGATTTTCCCCCTTTATTCTACTATTGACCTCCTTCTATGTGGTATTATATGATAAAAAGTTTGCTATAGTTTGGAATTAGGAATCTCCCCCCATTTCGATTTTCTATATGAAATATTAGAGTAATGTACAAAAAAACCCAATAGTTTTAAGCTTATAGGAAGCTAAGATCTTGCTTCAAAAGAATCTAAATGAACCTGCCACTTAAGCTATATATAAACCAGCATTTCACATTTTCATATTTTGACAAATGCATTCATGTGAGGTGGCAAATAAAGTAGGTTCCTCAAAGAAGAGTGGTGTTGAAGCTGACAGCTAACAGACTGAGTAGTACCATTTCCAAAATATGTAGAATATGTACCTATAAAAGTCAAGTATACAAATACAGAACTTAGTCTATGCACATACTTAAAGAACCACACACATTATTTTTACTGTTGTTCTACTCTTTTGGAGAACATTTAGTTATAGTAATTTCCTTTAAAATACCTTTAAAAATGATATATTAAATCTGGACAAATATTTTTCTCCAAAATACTTTTAAGCATATAAAGATAAGTGAAAGCCAACCAAAAAAACTAAGTCAGGGCCAATTCTATGCTGTCTCTACTTGTGGCTTTCTGCTTTCCCTCACTACAGTTTTAAGTAACCTGCTATTTCTTACATCTTTGGTTTTTCTGACCATGCTAATATGGTTTTAACTTAGTATTAGTTCCTCCTTCTGTATCTTTTATTATAAAGGTAATGTTAACAATTGTTAAATATATATACAGAATGATACAAATTAAAAAAAAAAAGATTACAATATACTGAAAACATCTATTGTTGCTTACAATTACAAAGCAAATACAAATATCCTCAAACTATCAATAAAACAATAACTACTATTACTTTCTAAGCTTTGAAACAATAAGTGACTTGCATGCAAGAGATGCTGGGTGCTGTATTTGAAACTGATATTGCTAGTTTCAGTGTTGGTCATTGTTCTGGTAGATTTCAATTTACCTCTATCACACTGCAGCTTCTGGTACAAAGTAATTTAATTGTGAAAGATTCCCAAAATCTCTCACACATGAAGGCTTGGTCCTCCTAAACCTTGGGGAAATGCACAACACCTGTAACTCAAGTTAGGAACTGGGTTTTGATGTCAAAGGGACTACTCATCAAAATAGCATAAATTAGCATTAGATGGTACTACAGGTTGCACAAACTCTATAATCAGCCTTATTTTGACTGAATTACTATGACGCTAATTATATACTCACTGCACATTTCAAGTTCTTACCATAAACTGGTGCTGTTATACCCTAGTTTTAGTGTTTCTCTTTCAAATTATCTGAGAATTAGGAGAATGCCACAGAAAACTTAACGGCTCTGAACAACTGGTAGCCAGAAGAAAAAAAAATGGTCTTGACAAGTATACTCTAAAAGTTAAAAATGGCATAACTAAGTTCACTCACAGTAGATTGGAGAAAAATGGTTTAAAGGCCTAAGAATGGTGGTCAACAAAGTATTCAGTAATACACCAATACTTTGTCTCTATATCTAAAAGCTGCTTTTTAGGAGTGTAGGAACCCATGTATGATGCTTGGTTGCAAATCCACAATCTCACCCTGAACAGTACGAACAAAAACAGAATTGCATCAAAGCACCTACTCAGATGTTTAAGATAAACAGATCTCTTCTTGAGAAGAGGGTAGAAAGAAATAGGTTTTTCATGTTTTTTAACCAAAGCTTTTTGAAATTTTTGCATGACATGGTAACCACCAGTTTAAAAGTGGATGATCCCCCCACACATTTTCAGTGATTAGTTTATAATAATGTTTATTATTTAGTGTAGAGTAGAACACTGTAAAATGCAACAATGTTACAAGAGAGCATGCTTGGGCATATTTTAAGAAAATGTCATTTTATATATTTTTAAAAGAAAAGTAGGAAGATTTTATTGGTAAAAATCAGAACCATCCAATGCATAAAACAAAATCATTCTTAGACCATTAAGCACAGATTCTGTCCTCTTATACTCCAACTGCACCAAATAGCCTACGATATTTCACAGTAATATATTTTTAACTCCTGTATGTGGGAGTACTTATCTGCATCTCAACAAGTGAGACTGAGACAATGTAATTTCATTTATTATGGTGGTGACCCCAAACTCACAGGTTAAACTTTTAGTTTTTCATGTTTTACGTTTTTTCACTAGCTAAATAATACAGTAATTTCTCTTTACATTTAATTAATGTATAAAGTGCTACCTTTAAAAGAAACACAGGTTTTATAGACATTCAATTTTTTTCTGGGAGAGCTGCTTCTCCCCCAGGCGAAACCATGAGTGTACAGATTTTCAGGCTTTTCCTCCTAGAGTAAAAATGGCTGCTCCAGGAGAAAAATAACTAGGGAACAACCAGGGTTAAAATCACTCCCAGGAGTGCTTTTCCCAGGACAGCAAATGTCTGCACATGCTGTAGCTCCTCTTAGAAGAGAATGCAGCCCTCCAGCATCCCCAACCCCACCCTAGGGAGAAAGTGTGTTGTTTGCTGGAATGCACTGCTCCAGCAGGGAACAAAACATACCTCTTTCACAGTCCCCACATTGTGCTGTGCAGGGAAACACAGGCTGACCATGGGCAGTCTGGGTCAGCCATTCAGAGCTGCCCTATGCATTGCTGACATCTGTCACCAGGCAGACTAAGGTGCACAGTGTCAACACTGCAAGTTCTTCACTCTTCAGGGCCTCAACATTCAAATGTCGGTACACATGGGTCTGGGTAAGATTTTCTACCAGGAGAAAAAATCTGAGAGAATTCTCCCAAATTGTTTGAATATATGTATGCAGCCACACTGGCAACACTTTTGGACAAAATTTAAAAACAAACAAATAAAACACTGCTTTCCTTATGTTGTTTGAAAATAACTTTTTGCAGGACAGAACCAAGACAACTCACCTGCTTTTTTGGTGGGAGACTAAAAAGGGAAAAAATGCAAGCGTCTCAAATTATAAAGCCGCGGACAATTTTTTTTCAGCATACCTGGTCCCTGTGGTACTTAACAGATAAAAAATAAAAAATTATAAATAATTTATTAACTGCTGCTTTTACATGGGTTAAATAGCTTGGTTTAAGACTATGCCTAGGACTGTGTTATAAAAAGTAACTGTGCATATGAAAAAGAATTCTGAAGATTTTTTTCTTTGCATCCACATAGAACTGAGTAAGAAAATTGTGTCTGATGATGGATGTGACCTCATCTGGCTTCCCAAACTCTTCTGGAGACTTCTGGAGTAATCCAAGTGAGCTGATGAAAAATTTTTCTTCAGAAACCCAAAACATTACCATCTGTCTTATGAATGAAGACTCCTTGTCTTTTACCATAATAGTTTCATACTCCATTATCTTTGTCATTGGATTGGCTGGCAATAGTATAGCTTTGTTTGCTTTTTTGTGTGTTCATTCCAAAAGGAATTCTATCCAGATTTACTTGCTAAATGTAGCCATCGCAGACCTTCTGCTGATCTTCTGCCTGCCCTTCCGGATATTATATCATATTAATAAAAACACATGGACACTGGGACAGATGTTCTGCAAGACTGTAGGAACCTTGTTTTATATGAACATGTACATTAGTATAGTATTGCTGGGACTAATTAGTATGGACCGCTATGTGAAAATCAAAAAGTCTATTCGACGTCCTACAGTGTTAACAACCAAACGAAGCATGTGTATTTGTTGCATAGTGTGGGCAATTGCACTAACAGGATTTATAGTAATAGTTGCCCAGCCTACTAAGAAGGAAGAACACAATTCTATTATGTGCTTTCATTACAGAGATAAACAGCAAAAAAAAATAGAAGCAAGTATAAATTATATTGTTGTAATAATCTTTTGGATAGTTTTCTTTCTACTAATACTTTCATATGTTAAAATTGCTAAGATCCTCCTGAAAATTTCAAAGAAAAGAGCACATTTCCCCAATGCTGGAAAGTATGCCATCACGGCAAGGAATTCCTTCATTGTACTCATCATTTTTACCTTTTGTTTTGTTCCTTTTCATGCATTTCGATTTGTCTACATTACATCACAACTGCAAAATACATCTTGTTTTTGGAAAGAGATCATTCACAAATGTAATGAGATTATGCTTATATTCTCATCTTTTAACAGCTGCCTTGATCCTATTATGTATTTCCTAATGTCCAGCAGTGTCCGTAAGACTGTACTCCAACTTATTTGTAGAAGAATTCACAGGGACTCAAACATGACAGACAGTACTTCAGAAATGAAACTGGGACAATCTACTCTAGAAGCAACGACCACCATTACTCCCCATTCAAGCTTTTTAAAAAAAAGGTCCCTGATCTGATCACTTAAACAAAAGGAAGACAACAACTTAATAAAATCCCCTGAAGAACTATTCAGTCAGTCTAAATCACAAATGTTTAATGGACCAGACAGAGCAATTTAAGAAGTGGCATTACTGTCTCCTTCTCCCTTTCCCTTTGTTAAAATATGGAAGGTCCCGGATCTCTTAACTGAAAAATGAAACTTAACTTCTTGTAGTTTAAACACTTCATTAAAACCCTTCACTTCTCCTAGGATTAATTTTCAGCACTGGACTTTCAGGGACAATTTTTCGACTCTGGACTCAATTTGTATGCGCGAAAAACTTCATAGATACAAACATTAGGTGTACATTAAGTAGCACTATTATTTACATGTTTTTAGAAACCACAGGATAAACGTCATACATGCCACATGCTTTTTTTCTGTTTGATATAAACCAACATAACCCCTGTATTTAATATTTGATAAATCTGTCTTTGAAGAATAATATATTTTAGAAGGCTTTAAAAATCAGTTTCTTAGCTGTTTTTATTGATCTAATCCTTTCACAGCAAGATATTTAATAATCTATTATGAATATGACTCAGACAGGAGGTAAAAACCATGAAGGCATGACAATGAATCTAAACTCAATGTCTTGAATGTTTTAACTTAGGTAAATAATAATATTTAAGACAGCTTCTTATACTTGGTTCCTTAAGGATTATGACAATAATGCACTGTATATATAATTTTTAGAATGTATATCCATCTCTTGGCTCAAGATTGTAAGCTCTTTGGAGCAGAGATCATTTTTATATTCTGGTTCTGACTGGATCTCCTAGGCAATACCATAAAACTAATAATACAAAATAAATACCTTCACACCTAGACACCTGGTATACCTAGATCTACTTTTTAGCCATAAACAAACAGTCACGTGGTGTCCTTCCCTCCCCCACCATGTTTTGAGCCAACAAGAAATTGTGCCCTTCTTTCAGAAACCCTCAGAAATGATAAGATGTAAATTTCTACACTGAATCAGAAATAACCAAAACAAGTTAAAAATGAAACTGTGAACAAAATAAAATTTTAGTTAACAGATATTCTGTAACATTTTAAGATTCTCTCACACAGTATTGCATTTATACTAGAGGCTTATTATAGGATTGTAATCCACAAAAAAGGGGTAAAGATCACAAAGTTATGATTTTGGGATATCTTCAGTGAAACGAGCAGTGGCATAAGAACTAACAAGGGTTCAATTTGTTTACCTTCAATGGAAAGCTGAAACCCAAGTGAAAGACTGGTTTTCTAAAACAAAACAAAAAAAATGTTGTGATCTGAAATTTGGTAAATCCATCAGTGATTTCATTATTGCAATATTTTGGTAGAAAAGTAAGTTATCACTATGAACTCAAGACAAGATGTATACGTTTATTTGGTTTTGAAGGTGCACCTTGCTTTGATTCCAGTTCCATAGTATGGCAGCTGTTACATTACTATTCAGGCAGCTGAGGAATTTAATGGCTCACTGTTCTTCACTACATAAGTGTTGATGATCATCTCTCCTCTTCGAGAGTCCTGATGTTCCATTAATCAAGTTAACCTTTCTTAGGGCAATTTTGCTGCCTGGTAGCTTTCTCCTGGTTTCTCTCCTCCTATTTCACAGCCTTGGAAACTCTTCAGATCTTTTCAGAATCAGAGATCAATCCAAGAAGACCAGTCCCCTGTAGCAGCTAAGGTTTCAGCTTTAGTTATGCTGGAAAAGGAGGGCAAGTAAGATGAAGATCAGGCTCTGTCCCTGCTCTATGCAGCCATAACACTGAGGAAAAAATCTAACTTTCTTCATTCTGCCTTTCAAAAACAAGGTGCATGTTATATTCCACGGCATGTTATGTGTGAGAAAATACTGTATTCAAAACCCCACGGACAGCAAGGCCACAGCAGATTGTTCATGCTGACACACCAAAACATATTATTTAATAAATCTTGATAGTAATGATTTTGTTCAAAAGTAATGCGATTTGAATTTTTCTACTATGGTATACTCAAAGATGCTATAAACTAAGAAAGAGAAGGTAACACAAATCTAAGCTTAACTTGATGCAAAGTAGCATTGTTTGTTGGTATTGATTTTAGGTATAATTTTACTTGTTTTGTTTCCCGTTCACCCAGATAGGAATGAACCTACATCACTTGCTTCCCAGAAAAGTGGTCTAACATGTAGGTTATGGGCTAGGCATTGGCCAGAACATTTGCCATACTGCTTCTTGAAGCCGGTCCACTGGGCAGCTAGGCAGGAATGACATGTGGGGCAAGTGGGTCAAGAACAAGCTTGTGCAAGGATGGCTAGAGTAAGATGGATGCTGCACCTGGGCTCCAGTCTTGACAGCAACAAGGGAGAACTATTCCACAGCTGTCTGTGGAAGTGCATATTAAATACAAGGTGTAGAAAAAACAGAAGGGCCAAAACCAGAAGGCAGGGCCTCCTCCTGTGAACTACCTTTCAAAAGGTAATTTTAAAGGTATTTTCTGATGCCCATGTTTGTTACAGTGGCCCAATTTGTATATGTGAAACTACAGCAGGCAGAGTGTTGTGAAACTAAAATTTAGCCTAAACACCAGGTTTATTTCATTTATAAAGTGCTAGATAAGAAGAGACTTGCCAAGTGGTTCACACCTCCATTTTACTTTTCATCCAAAAGAGGCCAAAATATGATGAAGCTTGCTACAGTACATACTATGCCACCCTTACATCAGGATGGATGGTGCATTGATTTTGACTGAACTGCCATAGGATTCAAAATACAACTTCACATAACAGGGTCAGAGTTGCCAGGCTGTACCATTCTTACCGACTGTACAATTGTACAATTCTAATTTTGATGGGACTAGAGCAGGAGTAGCACACTCCTTGACATAAGAGTGAGCTCATTATGGTTAGAAAGACAAGGGGAGATCTTATGCACATCATGCGGCTCTTTTGTTGAATTCAATGCGTAATTCCTGTAGACAGCCAAGGTACAGTATCAGCCATATTTCCCTCTATTTTACAAATATGCATATGTATCCTCATACCATGCTGTATATATTCTACTTGCACAAAATGTACTATATTTTAAATATATATTACTTCTGCTCACAGAGGACAATAAGGGAATATTTAAGTAAATTACATTCCGGACCTGTTATAAACTGGACAGATCTTTTAACAACTAAGTTGTCTTTGAAGACCTTCTAAAGAAATGCAAATGATAAACTTGAGAACACCAGACCTAAGAAATAAAAGCCAGTACTGAGTGACAAGGATATGGATATATTTTTGGTTCTGGTAAGCAATTTTTGTTCTCATACTCAGCTTAATTGTAATTCTGGTTTTAACTTGCACATCTGTACATTTCCTGGAAAAAGTTAAAATTTAATTAAATGTGGTGACTCAAAATTAGAAGCGAATAACTAACTTCCACAAATAGTCACAAAACACAAAAACGGAACTGCAGTCTTACACCACTGTTTTCAGTAACAGAGATGAATAAAGGCCAGATCACTTTTGGTTAGGGATAAGTCTTTAGCCTAAGACTGTCTCAGAAGCCATACCCAGAGGGCCATGTGTTGTACAGTATGAAAGGGGTTTCCAGAAACATTGTTTAAGTCCCATTAGGCCAAAGTAACTTTCTTGCATACCCCCTTCTAGGAACGATGGTCGTTTAGGAACAGTGAATACAGCATCTGTGCAGAGGATTGGACTAAATGACCTTCAAAGTCCCTTCTAATCCTATAATGATTGTGCTCCAACTTTAAAATTATATATATAATGATATGAATATACTAAACCCTTTGCATCAGCTAAAACAAAGAATGGTTTCTTTATGATATCAGTTAGGTTACAGAATGTCAATTTAAATGTTTCATGCTTTAATGAAAAGAGAAATTTTTTTCCCATGAAAATACAAAAAAGAAAAAAACATTACAATGCACAAGATCATACTGAAACGTCTAGTAAAAAATTCTGGATACTTCTGCCTGAGACACCAAATCAAGCTCTTATTTTCAAGCTCTCCCTGTTAGGAATGCAAATGCTGGTGATCAGTAGAGAAGCAAAATCAGTAGACAAAAACCTGCCAGCAACCAGCAGAATTTACCCTGACATGTGGATTTCTTTTTCTTTCTTTCTTTTTTCAAGTGACTAAAAAAAAAAAGAAACTTTTTAGGCATCATTATCAGAAAGAGCTATTGCAGATCAATATATTTAAATTGATAATTCAAGTGAAATTGTGGCATAACAGAATGCAGTAAAATCTTTCTTTTCTGACTACCTCCATCAAGTACAGTTTACATAGGAAAACTCATCTCAGAAGGGAGAGTAATCATGACCTACATTTTTTAATCCTCAGCCCATATTGTGAAATGGGACACTCTGGAGGCAACCTGAGGAATTTCACTAGAAAAATTCAAACTGTATTTAGTTGCATATGATCTGGAGCCCAAGTGTAAAAGTGATGACAAATTTTACTAGTACAAATAGACAGCAAAGACCTGGTGGGCTTAAATTTGCAAATGCCTGACAGAAGTTAGCTTGCTCATCTTATATATCTTTACTGTAAAGACAGCCCTGGACATGTGAATAATTTGTTTTACTTACAGATTTTGTAATAGCTACATAATAGGTTATAAAGTTATGATTTCAATATGAACACACATCTATGTATTATTAGAGACAGTACAAGGGCAACTAAACTTTACTGCAAACAATTACAATTCATTGATTAATATAACAACTTTCATTTTAGACATAAAATTAAGCCAAGGCCACAATGATAGTTGTAAAATTTACAGAAAATAAATTACTTATGTGCATCAACAGAGCACAGTCTATTCATTTCAGGCCCCAAGCCAACAATGAATGTAATTACATACTTCTGTCCATCCCCATTCAGCAATGCACTCATCTTCAATGGCAGTTAACAGGGGTTTATGTATTTTGCTGAATCAGCCTCTCTCACAGGCTTCTATATCATTAATAGAAAGAAAATTACAGTTTTGCTTTTCATTGTTTTTAATGAACACTCATAACAAAACTCATAACATTCTACGCTGAATTACTCACATCCATGTTACATAACTTCCCTTTTGGAAGCAGAATCCGGGTTGGAAGTTCACAGCAATATCCTTATTGTAAGTTTACTAATCACCCTACAGTTACAGGACATTATGAAGTTAAATATGAAATTTAAACAGGTTTGAAATTATTGCAAATTTTTCACATGTAGTACATAGTAATAGCACATAACAGGATAGGCTAAGCACAAGTTTAGAATAGAATATCAAGCCAAAATCTGCACTTCCCCTTTGAACTCCCTTCTTTTGGGGGTTTTATGCTGTGTTAATTTTTACTTTTAAATTTAATCATGCAATTATATGGAATAAATGAATCTATTAAGTAGCATTAGCCTTTTGTATCATGTAATTTGCAATAATCCTGTCTACGCAAACAATTTTTCATTTTGTTACACTATACTTGGAAGTGACCCACAATCTCCTTTTTTGTCAGTCTTTTTGCTATTATTATCCCATAAAAATTAAGGTGACTGCACACGCATCAAATTATGTAATGAAAACAATTATACAAATCTTGTTTTCAATGCACGTTTACTTTGTCTGAAAATGAAAGCTATAGGCACACACAAATGTGCTTATTTCTTGCCTATTTCTCCTTTTCTGTCACTAATCACTTCTCAAATTTTAATTTACTGTAGGTTTTGGGGGGAAGCAGGCAGAGGGGGCATGGGAAGCAAAGCAGTAGTTATTTTACTTTTCAAAGCAACTACTTTAACTTGTACATCTTATCTTATCTTAAATTATTATACCTGTGCTTCTGCAATTTGTGCAAACAATATGTAGCTGCCCTCTGTAGACAACCCACAGAAAAGAACTCTAACTACATCTGTCTTCCTGTCTATAGTATTAATGAACTGCACATAGAATTCTGCTCAGTTCTAAATGGTAACAGTAAATTTTAAATATTTGAAAGAGCCAATCTGTATTAAAAAAATAAATACGTGAAAAGGGCTTAACTTGAAGTACAAAAACATAATGGACAAATAGATCTCTTTTTAAAATTTCCCTTACAGGAAAAACATTTTTATGCCAAATGTCAGGACAGAATTACTGTGGTACCTAAGTAACTAACACACAAAATCAAAAAGGTGCAGGGGCAGAGCATTCTGTCCCAGGGAACTTAACGTTTCTAATGGCATGGGCTACGCCACAGTAGCAAGAAGTCCCGGCAGGTACATTCCTGAGCACACACCACATCTGGTTTTGCTTGCTGCTCCAAACCTCTGAGGCTACTCTGGGGATATCCCAGAGGCTGTCCTCAAGTACATCAGAAGCTGAGGTCTTAAGAACAAAGACCTGCCCCCAAAGTACCTTCATCATTGTATTTCCAAGTGCAGAGCATGTGGGCAGAAACAAGTGGCCAGGATGTTGCTGTCATAGCCTAACTGGCTATCCAGCTGTAGAAAGAAAAAACTTGAACAAAAATAAAACAATTCAACAAGTCAGGCAAGTTTGGAGCATCTATGTAAACCAGGGGTGAACAAAATACAGCCGTGGGCTGCATGCAGCCTGATAACTGATTGGATCTGGCCTGCGGGCAAGGGTCCACCAACTGACTGGAACTGGCCCAGGGCTGCCCCTGCAGCCCCGGCACATGTGCACAGCTTCCCAGCAGGGATGCATCCAGTGTGGCTGCAGCTGCCTAGGTACTCCTTGGCTCACCCTGCCTCTAGAGTCTCCTCCTCCTCCTGCCTCTGCTGCACCACTCCAGATTAGGGGGAGCTGCAGCCTGGTGGCTCCTGGCCTGCTTGTGGGGATCCACCTTGCTCCAGGCTGCCTTCCATCCATTCTACTAGCTCAATAGGATGTGCAGGAGGTCTAGTAGGTGGAAGGCAGCCAGTAGCTGGATCTCTGTAGCTCTGCACGCTGGGGCAGCAGCTGTCCAGCTGCAGCTCCCCACCAATGCCTAGAGCAGCACAGCAGGGACAGGAGGAGCCACTGGAGGTGGGAGGAGCCAAGCAGGACCCTGGCAGCTGCAGCAGCAGCACCAGGAGCAGCCCCACTAGGAAGCTGTGTGTGCTGGCTGGGGCTGTGGCTGGCAGGTGTGGGTGGGAGCACAGCATGGGCTGCTCCAGGCAGGAGTGGGTAGGGCTCAGCCCTGTAGGGTAGCAGTGGCAGGGGAGAGGGGCTGCAGGGCAGCCTGGATGCAAGCTCCATGCAGCTGCAGCAATAAGGGCCTGGCATTGGTAAGGTGGAGGCAGCTGCTTGTTCCCTGCACCCAGCTGCGTCTTCTGCCAGGCTGCTGCAGATCCTCATCGTGGTGGGTGGGCCCAGAGCAGGCACAGGGTGGGCTAGGGTTGGGAGCTGTGTGAGTGGGTTCCAGCTGGTCTGGAACTGGTGCACTCCAGTTGGGGTGAGTCTGGAGTGGGTGTGGGGCAGGCCAGGACTGTGTACTCAGCTGCTGCTGGGCACTGGTGGTTGTGAGCTGCCGTATGGTATGTGGGCTCCGGGCTGTTGGCAGGGAGGGGTGTGTGTGTGTGTGGAGGGGGTGCTGATTAACCCACAACATATCCCTAAAAACTGCCTATGTGGCCCTTGGGCCCAAATAATTGCCCACCTCTGTGTTAGTCAGTTTGGTTCTATTACACAATGTAGAGAAATTAAAGCTTGCTAATAATTCACCTCAGAAAACAATAATCTTCTGATTTTCTCCATGTATAACTTGATATATTAAAAGAAAAGGATAAAAGATAAAACTGCACATCTGACTCAGCTTTTTTGTGGTATTTAACTTAGGCTGCACTTGCTTCTTTCCCAGATCTGAAGAAGAGCACTTTGTGCTCAAAAACGTGTCTACCATCTTCCCTAGCTATATCATTGATTCGATGAAAGATATCACCCCAAAAACCTTGCTTTTCAGTTTTTAAAGGATCATCATAAAGACAAATTATATAAGACTGCTTTTTTATTATGGAACCAATGTTATAAACCGTTGGTGTAGGATTTTCATAAAATACTTGGCTTCATCCTAGCTCTAACTCGCCCTGAAGGTAAAAATGAGCAAACTTAGCTTTAAAAAAAAAATCCCACAGTTTAACACATTAACTTTAAAAAATGACAGTCTACAGAAAAAACACTGGCTATCTGCAGAGGATGACATCAGTATAAGAGGTGGGCATTCAGCAGCTTTCCTCTATATTTAACAGGGCCCAGGCAGAAGCCCCACAGTTCTAAACAAATTGTCAATGGGCATTGGGACAGGTGTGGGATTCTGAAAAGGGGACTGTGGCAGAGACAGCTCATTGGTGTGGGAGCTGCAACTGGGGGCACAGACCAGAGTTCTTGATGTGTGCACCCTGCCAAGGGTGGCTGACCTACAGCAAAGGTAGTCTTAGTGCAACAGCTTGGTCAGAGAGGACAGGCCATAGGGGAGAAAGCTGAGAAGCAGACTGGGTAAGGGAAAGGCATTGGTGTGGCACATGGGGAGGATGCAGGGCTAATTTGTGGCATACCTGCCAGAGAAGATGGCCACTAATGCAGTTGAAGGGTGGTACAAATGCACCAGGCAGCCATATGTAATTCTTTTGTTTGTACATAAAACCCAATCCCCTCTATAAACATAGAAGCTATTGTGACCCAAGATTCCTAAAAACTACAGAGGCAGCTTAGAATAACTGACATTAGGTATATTTGGAGAAAGCTGCAAACCTGCAAAAAATAAAAAGAGTATCCTTGAACATATGCACTGGTATTGCCCTGAATACTGATGGGATGCGCACTGTTCATATAAAGAAATTATCTAGATGTTAGACAGGGAAGACGATCCAATCATAAGGAAAACTGTGGTGCCAGGCTAAATTTGGAATAATTAAAATACTTCTATTAATCATTCAAATCACTATCCCATTTCAAAATCTGAACTTCTCTAGTATGTATTGAGGATTCCATTGGTATGATTTCAGGCACAGAAGCAGTTACACTGAGTTTAAAGGATGATTTTAAAAAGCCTGCTGCTCCTAAATGAAATATGGGACAGCTATTAATAGAAAACTAATTATCTTTTCCCATTTACTGACATGTTAATAGAAATGCTATTCTATACCATTCTATACCATGTCCACAAGTTCATATAGACTTTGTTCCTAGATTTCTAAATATTGAAGTTCTCCAGGTATAAAATTTATTACTCAATTTATTATAAATTGTCAGTTTGATAAAAAAAAAAAAAAAATCTTCTCTTTGGGTCTTTTTTCCTGGTGTTTTCTCTTTGGAATCATATTTCCAGAATATGTCCATTCTTGTACCTCAGATTTCTAATTTATTACCATAGTTACCTGAATCCAAGATGACTCTGAATTTAAGACAGCCCTCCAATAATTAGATTCTATACATGGAAAATGTATAAATTTATTATAATTTTCCATGTATAGAATCTAATTATAGGATGGTCATCTTAAATTCATGTTCTTCCTCCGCCCCTGTACTGGAGCAGGGAGGCAGAAGGTTTGAGTAAATCTGGCATCTTAGAAAGCTGAAGGGCCTTGATATTTCATTCACTTTTTGTAACAAGCCCTTCTAGAAATTTTAGGAAATACTAATTATATAATATTTAATTAATGCAAAAATATTCTTAACCAAAGACCTGATTTAAGCATGTTACAAAAAGAGGTACATAAAATTAAAAGCAAATATATAAAATATTAGCATATTCTACTATATACTTCTACTCAGTATACATACTAGTACTAAGACTAATCAAAAAAATTTGGGAACAGTAAAACATGCACACAACTCCATCCAAATTATAAGCACTAACAAAAGTTATTCTCTATCAACCCATTTTCCGTGGCAGGTTTCCTTCTGTCCTCTCAATTACTCAATTTAATTAGGATGACAATAAGTCTTCATAAAAGCACAGCTTTCAAGAACAAAGTGAAGCTTTTTCAATAATATGGCTGAGCAATAAAATAATTAGCTGGATCACAGGGTGACTGCTACCCAGAGAACAGTATGTTTTGAGATTTTTCACAGCATAAATTTAAGGGGCATAAAGCAGAACCAGGTATATACAGTAGCCATTTCAAAGACTGTATATATATTTAGGATCTTACCAGTTCTTGGTGAAGTACTGAGAAGTTATACACTTCCTCTTCCCCCGCCCCCCACTGCTGCACAAACGGTTATCAAAGCCAGTCAGACATAATTTTATGGGTCTCAAACGATTCTTTTGCAGAGACATAGTTCAACTAGATCATCACAAATCTCTCTTCTGGAAGAAACAACTTGTCCTGTGCAGGTTTCTGGATTCTTCATCTGCAGATTTATTCTTAGACAGGACCACAGTGAATTTCTCCTAGGTGATTTGCAATCCTAGAGCACCAAACTGGTTGCAAATCGTCTCCGCAGATTTGGCAACAACTGGCTGCTCTGACATTACCTATTCATCTGGTAACTCAGGTAAGGATAGACTCTGTCATCTCAAGTGGGCTCTAATGACAACCAATCCACTTTGGGAAAACTCTTGGAGATGTAGATAAGCCCAAAGGCATGACTTCACAATTTTCACCATTCCATTTTAAATATTTGAAAAGTTCTGGGTATAGCATTTGATTATGTATATCATGGAGGCAGCAACCATTGTACCAATCTTGGGGAAGAGAGAATGAGACTGATGTTTTCCAATACTGGTCAGCAGAAAATTATCAGATAAGATTATTCTTCATATTTCCATATCCTAACTATATTATCAAACTGCTGTTATCCTCCATCCTTCCTCTCCCCACATGCCTCCGTGTTTATTTCCTTAGAGGGAGATATCTTTTATTTAATCATAAAACTCTGTGGGTGAGACTACATCTTCTTATTTATGCTATAAATTGAAGACAGTGGACTGTAAACATAAGCACAAGTCCTGAGAACTGTTAAGTAGTAAAGATGGATTGCTTTTTTTAAAATTTTGTACTTTCTTAGTTTTAAGCAACACCCTCTCTCCCCTGATGATTCCCCTGCTTGCAGAAGTAAATAAGTAGGAAACTTTGTAGACTACGATTCTGAAAAGGAAATCTCTCAGACGGAAATACTGAGCTCTACAGGGGATTGTACCTAAAAGTTTCATAGGTAAGCTTGATTGTTCATTCCCTGTTTGTTTCATCTGAACAAATTTACAAACAATCAAAATTAAACATTAATCTATAGGTTATTTAAATGTAATAATTATACTGGGAATACTTAATAGTGACAGAAGAATTTAACTTATCTTCTTTAAAACTTCCAGATGGGATTAATAGGCACTAAAATGTAACAGCTACACAAAAGTTACTTTCATTTCTAAGCTGTAAAGCTGTATAAGGTTTTTGCACTGTTTAAATTTTAAACAAAAATTCTGAACCTTCTGTGGTCTAAATCTGGGTTACTATACATTTCTTTTGTAACTATTAGAGTTATGCAGAACCATCTCTCCGCTGCATCTGATCATATGCTCTTTCTAATAGATTTAGAAAAAAGATTTTTATCTTCTAACTTTCATCCCTGTTTAATATTTTTCCCCATAAGCTTGCAACATGAATTAAAGCTCCAATCCTTCAACAAGTTATACATCACATCAAGGGGATCCTAGTTAAATTTCCTTTTCACTTTTACAGTAGCAGGATGAAACGTGCAGAGAAACCCTGAGCACACCACTGCCTTGGATTTGAGTACAAGACCTTGTGGGTGGTGTGGGGGGGGGGGGGGGGGGGGGCCCAGTGGTCAGTGCCTGCCCCTCCAGTCCCTGCTTCCCCCGACACTTACTCTGGTTATGGCTCCAGTCCTGCTCCAGCCTGGGGCAACAGTAGTAGGGGGGATACAAATTTGAGATGACGCTCCCAAAATTAGATTCTATACTTTAAAAATTGTAAGATTTATACATTTTCCATGTATAGAATTTCATTATTGGGAGCTTTTATTAAATTCAGAGTTGTCTTAGATTCAGATAAATATGGTACTTGTGTGGAAGCAAGCGAGTGCTACGTGGCAATTATGTGATCACTTTAGTATTTTTGATTTGACAATATCAAGATGCCCTAGAAGCAGTTTATTACTGAGAATATTGAGGTGCTAGATCAGTGGCTCAAACTTCTCAAACATCGCATACCCCATGATAGACTTGAGGCACCCCTGAGAAAATACCAGCTCTTAGTTTGCACTCCTTTTTTGACTACAGAATATAATAGAGCAATTCATTTTTTGTAAAGAACTCAGAAAACATCACAAGAGGACAGGGTGTTTTTAACACTATGGATTTCCACTTGAAATCCCTGGGTCGTTCTTCTGAATCCTGTTTGCATACCAAACAGTGCTAACATTACGTGGCACCCTATGACACCCCTGAAAGGATCTAAAGGCACCCCAGAGTCCCATAGACTCCTGGCTGAGAATCACTGTCCTAGATCAAGATCACAGAAATTTCTGTCAAAATCTGGATCAAAATCCAGGTTTCCTGAATTTTCGTGATCCATGTTACCAAACTCAGGATCCATGCACTTAAAATTTTGGACGATTAGTTTTTCATTAGTTTGCTAGTACTACTTGATCTGGATACCAAAGTTGCCAATTTTAAAAGAAGCCATTACAAAACGTGTAAATTGAAATGATAATTTCAAGGAGGCTTACAGAGGGTTAATAAGTATTCAAAAGAGGAGAAGGAATCATTAAGAACATTCTAACTGCAGTAAATAAGAAACACATTAAATATAGATTATACGGAAATAATTTCTGCAATTTTGTTTCAGCTCAGTGGGCATTTATTCAAGAAAAGCTGGCATTAATGAACAACTCAACATGTCGTCTTCAACCATCATCTGCTTCTTCAGTAGCTCTGCCAATCATCTATTCTTTTCTATTTACTACAGGCAGCTTTGCAAACATTTTCTCTGCATGGGTGTTTTCGAGGTATGCATCTCCAAAAAGAACACAGCACATCTACTTGATAAATCTCATCACTGCAAATTTACTTATGTGTAGTATTATGCCTTTTCTGGCTGCCTATTTTGCAAAAGGATATCTGTGGAAGTATAAATCTGGAATATGTAAAATAGCAAGTGATTTTGGAACTCTGGTTATACATGTCAGCATGTATGTCAGCATTACAAGTTTATGTTGGACAGCCGTAAATCAGTATGCAACTCTGATGAAACATAATGACCACACACAGTATTCACAGTCCATTAATGAAAACACCTTTTATTGGCAAACACTGAAAAAGTTTCGTCAGCCAAAATTTGCCAAGTATTTGTGCATCAGCATATGGCTTACTGCATTATGTGTAACTATACCAATTATAGTGTATATTTCCCACTCAGGAACAGATCAAGAAGATATATGCTATAACATGATTGTGGAATATGGAGAAGGTACTACAAAGACTATAGTTCTCATTGCTACCACATGTTTTTTTTTATTGTTTATAGCAGTGTTGTTATTATACTATTCCCTTGTCAATCATCTGAGTAAGATACAAAAAAATACTTGCATTGAAAAGAAGCATCTAATTCACAGGACAGTCAAAAGAAACATTTTGATCATCCAGATCATATTAGCTGTCTGTTTTCTTCCATACCATATTTTTAGGCCAGTTTTCTATCTACTGCATAGTTCAGAAGACTGCCAGAGGTTGAACTCATTAATAGAAACAAAAAATTTCCTTACTTGTCTTGCTGTTGCAAAAAGTAGTTTAGATCCTATGGTAAGTCTCCTGTTAGATAAAACATTTAAGACAACTCTCTATAATCTCTTTAGAAAAACTAGCCCACAACATCAGAGACATTCAGGTGATAATTACCTTGAAGATACCACTCCAATATGAAAGAATAAGTAGAAATCTTATTGTACACACTTGATGAGGGTGGATGCAGTAGCATTATTATAGGGGGAAACACTTATGGGCAATTTAATTTTGCATGTTATGGAGTTCTTATACTTGTATTCATGGTGTCAGGATCTGAAGACTAGGTCACAGTCAGTCTGCCCCAGCTGGGGTAACGAGATAAGCATCTGGATGAATTAGCCTTTGCTGGAGAGTCTAGCGACACGAACCAGAGGATTGGGTATTGGGAGCTTCTACCAGGTATTTAGGGCTTCACTGGGCAGCAGAAGTACTTCTTACACTTAATAGCTGGCTGTTTCCCTGGTTCTTCCTTTGGTTTGCTCCTGGTCCCAAATCATGGGACTGCCCAGGCACCAGGCATTACTACGGGAACAAATTTTTCATAGGGTTGTATTAGTAGGGTTCGATTTTCAGAACTGACATAGTTTTCTTGTGTCTTATGCTGACTGTATTGCAGAGAGTCTGGGGGGAGATTGTACAAGTTAGACTGTACATCAACAACACAATATAACGGTGACAGCTAACCTATGCCGATGGGTAAGCTATAAATACAGGAAGAGTTGTGTAAGTGGGGATGAAGTACTTGACTGGTGTGCAGGAAAAGATATGCTGTTTTAGATGTCTTTTGTAATCTGAGCTAGGATTCTCTATCAAGTGCAGCAACAATTCTATTTTCAGGGGATTAGATTTATTGTAAAATGGTGTATGCAGTCACACCTATATAGCTTTCCAAAAATTATTAATAATTAGATTCTTTTCAAGATCTGGTTTTAGTATGCAGAAAATTCTAAAATATAATTCAGTTGAGAAATAACCAGATGATTTATCTAAATATACTGCTAAAGAGAGTGGAGGAAATTAAAATCAGATAATGTACAAAATTCTAACATATACTGTTGCATATTAAGCAAAAACATTAGTAAAGAATGCACATATACGTATTTCGTCATGAAGAATGATCACCAATCTTTAAAATGGCTAAGAATCAGTAAACTAAGGACATTTTATTTTTCATTGAAATGAAACAAAAGGTTTTTGTCTCTCCTGCACTTCCTTTTTCTCTTTCCACTACGGCAATTCATAATGGACAGCCGAAAGATACTGTACTGCAAAATACAGAAGCATAGCATCTGGCACGTTCAGCCAATTCAGCATTAAATCAAAGCATGTTCACTGCAGATCCAAAATTCTCCGATTAACCCCCCCACCAAATCCATGTTTTTCCATAATTAAAATGAAAGACCACTATATGTATGTATATGTATATAGGCATCAGCTGAACAAACTGTTTTACTGATATATTTACTATTTTAAAGCAATTTGGAAGCCTACCAGTGCCTCAATCATTGTAATAAAATACATTCTAAATACCTATGTATTTCAGCATTTAATTTTGTTTTTTATCATGAAAAAGCATAGCTCTCCCTGCCCCTCCACTCACCAGGATGGGGGTTCAGCTGAGGTTGTGGCTGCCCCCCACCCCAGTCCCCCTGCTCCTTTGTGGTGCTGAGCAGCCCTGATATGCCATTGCCCTGTCCTTGCTGGTACCCCTTCCTCCCAGCTTATGGCCTCCTGGCTCTGCCAGTGACCCTCACCACAACCCACAGCTCCCCCCAGCCCTGCCAGTGCCCCTCATGCCCAACCTGCAGCCCCCCCATCCCTGTTGGTGCCCCCCACTCCTAACCCACAGCCCTGCATCCCCCCAGCCCTGCTGGTGCCCCTCACTCCTGACCTACAGCCCGCTGTCCCTGCTGGTGTACCCTCACTCTGAAAGCACATCCCCCACCTCCCCTCAAGCCCTGCTGGTGCCTCTGACTCCAGACCTGTAGCCCCCTCCATCCCTGTCAGTGCCCCTTCCTCCCAATCCACAGCCCTCTATCCCCATAGGCCTCCTGCTGCCCCTCACTCCTGACCCACAGCCCCCCATCTCTGCTGGTGCCTCTCACTCTCAACTCACAGTCCCATACCCTCCCATTCCTGC